ACCCCCCCTCCCCCACAGCTCCTACGTAGAAACGCCTCCTCCCTCCTCCTCCTTACGCCAGAAACAGGTTTGTTTACAACCGGTGCGCTGCACATGACTTGTAAACAACTAACTACAGTGTTGGTTAGGCAAGACGGAGAAGTGAGGAGCGGGGGGAGGGGGTGTGCGGACATTTCGTGCGCGGACGAGAAGTGAGGAGCAGGGAGAAGAGCGGATCGGGCAGCGGGGAGAGGAGCAGAGAAGGGTGCGCGGAGATTCCGTGCGAATGAACTAGCTACAACACGCAGCAGCAAGCGGACTCTTTCTTTGCCTTGAAAATTACGTTTTCAGACATAGGATATCGCTTTCATGTCCTGAAAAACGTTTGTCTAGCTCTTGGAAATAAAGTACGTTTTCATAATAAGCAGAAGTTTCCTGTCCAGGAGTAATTTGTGGACCAGTGCGTCAGTCTTTAGACCCTGCGTCTGCTTCAGTCGCACCATCGCTGGAATGAATCTCCAAGAATCACCTTAGTTTGGCTTTGCTGCTTTTCCCCTTGTCTTCTTCTTTCAGCGACCTCAAAAATGGACTTTCTTTTGCGGCGAACTGCTCCTGGATTCTTGTCGCCATTGCAACAAACTTTGTGCGAACTGCGAGGAAGATATAGGTCAAAAAAAGCCGCTAAGAACTGTTGCGTTGGTGGAGTAAACAGCGTCTGTGCGTCTTGCGTCTGTGGACTGCGTGACAGTCGTACGTAAACCACATGTAACGGCAGCGCGCAGGCAAGTCAGTTACGCTAGAAACGTAGGGAGTTTGATTGACAGCTCACAGATAACGAGGCAGTGTCGTTATCTATTGGCAAATGTTTAACCCCACCACGTCCAGAGTTGATGAATTTTTTTGGTCATCATAATTACAAGGCTACTGCATCTCTATAATCTATCATTGACAATTTGAAACAAAAAAAATCCTCCATACAACCTTTAACATCGTATGGTCAGGATGAGGAACACATCGGCAGTCGTTACAGAGAGAGCAGCAAGCATTTCGAAGGAACCACTTTGCACTGATGCTCACTTCCTGTTTGAAGCCGTTTATATATGGAGCAAATAAACTCCGCCGTTTCATGAGCTGCGCTTCCACAGAGCAGAGTGTCCGTGCGAGGAGGTCATGTGTGAAGACGATTTACGGCGTGAGCTTCTGCGGGAGCACATAAACCTCCCGAGAGCGCCGCATGTAAATAAGAACATGCGTGTGCTCATAAACAGCTGACACGCAGACTCACCCACCATCCCTATCGAGCCTCATCTTTAATACATAGCCCACCTTTCAATACCGAGACCATACATTATATCTATACAATATCCTGTCTCTGCCACTTCAGCGCGGTGCATTCACTGACGCACGTTTATCCCACTATTCAGAGCGCGTCCGTGCACTCCAGCGGGCCCTGTGCGCCTCCCCATCTGATAGTAAATGTAATTTCCTGATGCCCCAAACACAACTTGATATTCATAGGCAAACTAGTTGCATTTAAAATATTAATCATGCAAAAAGTCCATTCATAATTCAGGGTTTGGATGCGCGCTCTGAAATATGAGGCGAGACGCAGACCTGGATTTGATGAACGCGGTAAGAGTAGTAGGAGATGGAGGAGATGCAAACTTCAAATTATTCATTAACATTCTAAATTCTGTCTGTTTCTTGATGGATTTGGGCCACTGGGGTCTCTCAGAATTCCAGTGATTTCACTTTTAATATATACATGGAGGACACGGAAGTCGGGAGAAATTAAAAGTTGTGTTTGAGTGGTTAAACCTTCTTGTCAAAACCAAGATAAGCAAGGTCGGGCCCGGTTAATACTTGGATGGGAAACCGCGGGGAATACTGTGTGCCAAAGTGGGACGAGAGTGTCAAAAACTGTTGTGTTCTTAGCAGTGTTGGGTATTTTATTTAGTTATTTTAGTTACTGTTAAGAACTGGCTCAGGGTTCGAACAAGAGGGAGTCCACACATGTTTAAAAAGAGCACAAAAATAAATATTTATTTAAAAACCAGTTGAAAAGTTGTGGCCACATGGTGGAGAGGAGAGAAGAGAAAGAGCAGTCTCCAGTAGAGGTCTGCGTGGGACAGAATTTTCAGTCTCGCTCCCGCAAAGAAGTGTAATTTTCAGTCCCGCTCCAGTCCCTATCTGTAATATTTTGTCCCGCGCCTGCCCGCAAGTCCTGCAGAATGGGAACCTTTACTTTCTAAAGCTCTATCAGACACAAAGAAGCAAAAGGAATTGGGCTGTGTATGAGGAGGAGGTGCGGTGGGCGGTCCTGCGGCATGGTTAAGTCCTGGCTAAATCTTGTTTTAGTGTTGTTTTAGTCCTGGTTTTAGACCTGTTTTTAGACCTGGTCTAGTCCTGGTTTAGTGGCGCAGCCTGCGTGACATATGGGATGTGGGGACTCTCCGCTCAGCGTACAGGAGGGGGGACGATCTGCTGCTTAAAATGTTTTTATAAATGCCAAATAAAATATCCAGAATAAATTATGCATGATAGACACACATTCATCATTTGTATATTTTACTTTACACCAGTCGATCACCAAGGTCGTGTGGGTAGATCGCCGTGTCTCGTCTCGGACTCGCGTTTGGACTCGGTCTTGTCTCTCACTCAAGGTCTGACACTCAACAAGTGTGATCATATTTCATTACGGCCGCTGCTGTTGGTAATAAACTTGTAGTGGGGTGCAGGAGCGTGTGGGGCGTCTCAGTGCAGCCTGTGTGCTCATTTGAAACCCGCGGAGACTCTACGGCGCATCACAAACACACACGCTCCCTATGCACGGCTCGTCTGCAACAGCGTGTGCCCTCGTGTACCAGCGTGCATCACAGGGCAGGTTCAACTTCCTAAACATCCTACCTGTCCACCTGCCTCACGTCAGCACGCCGCCCCTCGCCTTTTCACGCTCTCGCTCCTTCCTGCGTACAGCGAACACAAGCCCCTCCCACAGTGCGGCTGATTAGAAGAGCAAGACCAAACGTGAAGCAAAAAACTAGTCTAAATTTGTGTTCCAGTGTTGGCACAAAGCAGGTCTACAGCATAGAGCGGATCTACAGAACAGACCTACTGCCACATTTGGCTGAAGTTTGTCTAACAAAAGTGCACAAATGCATCTGTGTTTGTCACGATGTGCGTTTGGTTTGGTAAATGTTCTCAAAGGTTCTCAAACTGTGGGTGAGGGTCCAAAAAAGGGGCACAGAGTGTTTCAGTGCAGTTTGCTTGGCTTTGTATTAGGTAGATCATTATGACTTGGTCATTTTGTAAGTAGCTCGCATGCTGAAAAAGTGTGAGCACCTCTGATTTACACTCATATTTAGTTTGCAGGACTGCAGTTTATCATCCCACCCGCCGGCTCCCGTGTTGTGCACTTCCACCCGCAGTGAGCTTTCAAAATGTGTCCTGCACCGCACTGGTTTGCGTCGGGTCCAGTGGGAGGCTCTAGTCTCCAGCACTGGAGGACTGAGAACGGGACTGAGACCTGGTTTAGTCCTGGTTCAATTCTGGTTTAGAGCTGGTTCAGTCCTGTTTTAATCCTGTTTTAGTCCTGGTTCAGTCTGTTTTTGATTTAAACACAAATTTGAAAACTGAAAAAAAAAAAAAAAAGTCAATATCTGTTTTTTGTTTTTTTGTTTTTTTCGTTTTGGTTTTGGAGACAAATAATGAATTATTTTTTCGTTTTCTTATTTTTGGTTTTCTATTGAAAAACGAATGAACGAATGACACACGGATGTTGTTTATGACGAGGAAACAACACTGTAACACGGAACAGAAAACAACGCAGTACGTGCCCTTTAAGTACGGTACTTCTGTTGTTTATTCTTCCTTCCACCTTCCAAGCTGTCCGAGTGGTGTCAACATTTCTTTGTAGCTGGACGTCAATGTAAAAAAAAAAAAAAAAAAAAAAATCAATCTTGGTACGTGCCTTGTCAACACAGTCTGACATGTGTTTTCCCCGTTCATTCCAGTGTAAACAGTTCCATCAGCTTTCATATGTGAGCGTGATTACTGCGCTCCGTGTTTGTTTTGACGCTGCCCCGTATCTGACATGCCTCCCGTCCCCGCGGACACCAGCCGTCTGCTCACTCCGCACACCTATAGATGTTCGGATGCACGCAGACGGAGGGCGGGGGGGGCTTACGTAACGGCCCCAGAGAAAAAGTCTCCATCTAAATGTAAACAGCGCGGTCCCCGATGGCGCCGCCTAATCGTAGCGGCGGCGGCGGTTCGGTTTGTGCGCGCGCTGAGAGATTGGCGCGCGATATAGCCGTACGTTACAAAAGTGTACAGGTCCCCCGGCGTGCGGCCTATTTCATGTGGGAAACTTTCGATGAAAACATGCAGAGGAAAGGAAGTACATACTGTCTGTGATAAAGATAAATATGGTTCATTTCGTCGTCTTTGTAGTAAACCACTGAGCTACACGCCAAAACGGTTATTTTTTTTTTTTCAAAATATGATCCAATCCAATCCAACTTTATTTGTAGAGCACATTTTACTTAAAAAAAAAAATAAAATAAAATAAAAATCAGCAGAATTATGTTTCAACCATGAGGAAACTAATAGAATAAATAAAATAATAATAAAATCAATGAACAAAAATAATAAAATCAATACAAAAAAGCAGTACTAAAAAATCAAATAGATAATAAATAAATTAATAAAAGACACAGAGGACCATATAACTCACGTGGTCTTTAAAAAAAAAAAAATAAAAAAAAAATCTTGAAAAAGTCTCGGTTTGATGTGTTGGGCTCTAATCAAACCCTCCTTTCATAAATATACCGAAACATTGCTGTGGTTTACATTTTATAATTCCCAAAGCATCTGCTCACCTGACTGTGATGCTTCCTGTGTTGGTGTGGAGTATTCAGAGAAGACTCCAAAAACAAACTCTGATAGTGTAGTATTATTTATTACAAAAACAGAGTAAAAAAGCCTACACTGAAAAAACAGTCTGAGAGGAGTTGCTCAAATTGCAAAAACTAATTTGACAACAATAACATGACTTTTTTACGTTTCTCTGTCCAGCATGTTTAAATGTTACAAAGGTCACTTGATTGTGGCCGATGTGAGACCTGCATGTTTTAATCAGGTTGAGGAAACATGACTTTATTATTTCATCTCTGGTGAGGCTCGTCCCTCTGGAATTCTCCTCCCAAAAACCTTTGGAGGGAAAATTCAAATATAACAGGACACAGGAGAGTTCCAGGAGCAGAGACACACAGTGTGGAGCAGGAGGATTATCAGAGCTGATCTGGAGGTGAGACTTTTCAAAGATTTTATTATGTGTTTCTCTGGACTAGAATGACGTCATTGTTAAAACATGTTTGTGGTGTTTTATTTGAAATTAGAGTTAATGTCAGGAGTGTTTCCATGAAACAAATAGTCTTTGACTGTCCATCTACAAGAGTGTGACAGTTGTACTCAGATGTGAATGTGTTTGTTCCAGAGTCGTCTACAAACACAGAGTGACGTCCAGGTTCTGCTGGAGCTGAGGGGAAGTTCATGAATGTTACAGCTGATGTTTCAGGAAAAAAGGAAGATGTTTGAAAACCAACAAAACACAGACCACAGATGAACAAAGTAAGTAAACCAACTAAAATGATTTGAAACGAATTTTCCAAAATGAACTTCCTGTTGAAACAGTTTTTGTGTTTCTACAGGGTGATGTGGCACTAGGAGACTTTATACCAGATGCCCTCCCTGTTACTGCGTTTAGAGGAAGAAAAGCAGCACACGGTGAGTTTTGTTTCTGCAGATACAGTTCTAATGTTCTTGTCATTCTGTTCTGGTCCATTATAGGTCCTTTAAATGTATTTAAACATGTAGAACAGAGTAGATCATCAGAATGTGATCATCATGTGTTATTCTGTGTCCACAGAGACCAGAGCTTCTTCACTGGAATAAATCTTCACACTGTCCAGCTCCAAACTGTGTGTCTCTGTACTTGTGTGTCTCTGTACTTGTGTCTCTCTGTGTGTTTGATTCTGTTTAAGACAAGACAGAACTGTGGAAAACTAAAGACTGTTTTTGTATTCTTTTACAGAATTAGATCAATTCAATTAAATTATACATACTTATACATTTCACAATAAGTTAACATAAGATAAATATGCATATTCAGCTGGATTTGATCAAATTTCAAAGCCTAAACATAATTTTATTGCATGCAGCCGCTTTCCAGAACTTTTTTACGCAAATCCAGCAACCTTTTTTTGTCAGTGTTCCTTCTAAGGCGTCATATTTCTTCTGATATGGACCATGCATGTCCCTGATTGGTTAATCCACCTGTCAATCACTCCCACCTGAACCGGACTCACATCTTCATAACACATTGGAGAAGTGTGTATTCTGGATTCCAGGCAAACAAAATGACACCAATTGCCACTTTTTACTCCCCTCCTCTTCTCTCTCTCCCCCTCTCTCCCTCCCTCCCTTTTTGCTTCTCTCATTCTCTCTCGCTCTCTGATGCCGCAGATAGAGTTGTGTTTGACACTTCTCCCTCTCCGGTGCAGCAGATCTGGTCTCTGATGGTTGGTAAAATGAGCCTGTGTTGTTTGGGAGTATGCAGATTAGACACAGAGGTATCAAAGCTCCATCCAGCGCCCCATGAGTCCGTCATCCACAGCCTCCCCGTCACTGCAGGGGCCCCTCGCTCCTCCCCGTCACTGCAGGGGCCTCTTCCCAAAACCTTCCTGTGTAAAGAGACTGACATTATACAAGTGAGAGCAGAGTCACGACGAGCGCCTCCGTGAATGTGTCGGAACGATGAAAGGACAAAGAGGTGGAGTTTATTTCAAGAATATTTTAAGCAGTCATTCTAAGCTGCTATACAGTCATACTCTAAAAACTGTGGCGCATTATGTTATAATTTGCACATTTTAAATCACAATATTGATCTAAAATGACTTAATAAAAGAAATAAATGCACTGATTTATGCATTAGAAAAGCTGTAAAAATCACCACAACAAAGAGTCTTGAAGCTGCAGATTTTTTTTTTTTTTTTTGTACCAAAAATGGATCTACTTTTAGGAAAATAAAACTGGGTAACGAAGTAAGTCCATCACAGAGGGCGTGTACTGGTGGTGGTGAAAACACAGGTTCAACTGGCGTCTTGAAAATAACTGACTGAAGATTGCTTAAACATGTATTTTTCACTCTAAGTAGAACTTTGAGTGAGTAAATGTTGAGGTGAAACAACTATAACATGGGTAAAAGCATGGTTAAAAAAGCTGATTTCACTAAATAGGTCTGCCATGATTTTAATTCTGAATTTCATAAACGTGTGAATCTGTGTTCAGAGGCACGGTGAACTTGTTCAGATCACATGTAGTTGAACTGATAACAACGCTGATTTATTCTTTTTAGTCATTGTATTTATATAGTGGAGCTGTTAAGGACCAAAATAGTTCACTTTTATGGTACAAGCATGAAACTTTGCCAGATTAGTAACACCCCCAGGACTAATATTTCTGGATATGGAACCAAGTCTAATTCAACACTGGAGCTGAGAACTGCACATGTCACAAAATGGACTAGATGAAAACGAGACAGGCATAAAAAATACTGCATAATCCCTTTCTTATAGTCTAATTTGCTGAGTCATTGATTTTGTAATGATGAACAACTATTTTTTCTAAACTCCAAAGCTTGAAGGTCACGTGACCATTTTCTTTGAGAATGTAAGGGCTATGTGGTTTCCCTGTGGTTGAAATCCAAGTTAATAAAATATTTTATCTTTCAAAGTCATATTTATTGGGTTTTTGATAATTAAATTGATAATTTATTGACTAATTGATAATTAAATGCTGCATGGAAGCAAGGCTTAACCCCAAACAAAGGCAAGAACTGCCATTGAACTGAACTGCCATTGAACTGCCAGTGATCAAATACCAAGTGGGAATCATGTACTGGCCAAAGGAGGAGATACAGACCACAGATGTTAAGACACGAAAGCTCCTGATGAGCCAAATCCAGCACCCTGAGACTGTACGCGAGCCAGAAGGAAGGAGGCCGAGGACTAGTGAGTGTGGAACCACTGTCCAGGATGAAACATCCAAGCTCCATGAGAACATCAAGGACAAGGCCCCGACAGATGATGTGCTCAGAGAATGTCTCAGACAGTGGAGTCCAGAGGAAGAGGTGCTGGAGGGACCATAATACATAGAACATAACTGAAGTGGCTGATATCCAAGAAATCCTTCCAATGTCTTGAGAGGGCTGGTCTGAAGGACAGCACAGAGGCTCATCCTGGCTGCTCTGGAGCAGGACCTGGGCACTCGAGCAATAGAGGCCCAGATCTACCACACCAGACAAGAGCCACGGTGTAGACTGTGCCGAGAGGCTCCTGAGACAGTCCAGCACAGAACTAAATAAACATGGAGCGACATAACCAAGTGGAGCCATAGTGTGTAGAAACATCTGTGCAGAGTTCAGAAAAGTGCAGGACAGGAATAAATATTATAATAATACAGGTACATGCATAAAACAAGAACATTATGTTTGTTTTCAGATGTTAATGCTGCGAAAACTCTTCATGTAATTTCTACGTAGTCCATTTAATGACTTTGTGGCACTTAAAGTACTTCAAACTACAATTTTAATAACTTTAATAACTTTAATTACTTCATTGCTATCATTGAAGCTGTTTGTGTGTAGTGTCCAGATGCCTTCTTTTAAATACTTATGTCCAGATACCATACATATGATTTGAAAGAAAGAAAGAATGAAATAAGCTAAGATAGCTTCACAAGGCCTTATAATAATGCACTATATATATATATAAAAAAAAAAAAAAAGTGTGTGTTTCTCACCTTCCACGGTGGTAGGTCTCTCACCCTCATTCAGCTCGGGTCGTCTACCAGAGGCCTGGGAGCTTGAGAGTTCTGCGCAGTATCTTTGCTGTTCCCAGTACTGCACTTTTCTGGACTGAGATGTTCCGTTGTTTTTCCCGGTATCTGTTGTAGCCACTCTTCCAGTTTGGGGGTTACAGCCCCGAGTGTCCGATCACCACAGGCACCACTGATGCCTTTACTTTCCAGGCTCTCTCCAGCTCTTCCTTGAGCCCCTGGTATTTCTCTAGCTTCTCGTGTTCCTTTTTCCTGATATTACCATCGCTTGGTATTGCGATGTCCACCACCACGGCTCTGCTCTGTTTCTTATCCACCACCACTATGTCTGGTTGGTTCGCCATCACCATTCTGTCAGTCTGTATCTGGAAGTCCCACAGGATCTTGGCTCGGTCATTCTCCACAACCTTTGGAGGTGTTTCCCACCTTGATCCTGGGGTTTCCAGCCCGAACTCTGCACAGATGTTTCTGTACACTATGCCCGCCACTTGGTTATGTCGCTCCATGTTTGCTTTCCCTGCCAGCATCTTACACCCCGCAGTTATGTGCTGGACTGTCTCAGGAGCCTCTTTGCACAGTCTACACCGTGGGTCTTGTCTGGTGTGGTAGATCTGGGCCTCTATTGCTCGAGTGCCCAGGGCCTGCTCCTGAGCAGCCAGGATCAGTGCCTCTGTGCTGTCCTTCAGACCAGCTCCTCAAGCCATTGGTAGGATTTCTTGATATCAGCCACTTCAGTTATGTTCCGGTGGTACGCCCCATGTAGGGGTTTGTCCTGCCATGATGGTCCCTCCAGCACCTCTTCCTCTGGACCCCACTGTCTGAGACATTCTCTGAGCACCTCATCTGCCGGGGCCTTGTCCTTGATGTACTCAAGGAGCTTGGATGTTTCATCCTGGACAGTGGTTCCCACACTCACTAGTCCTCGGCCCCCTTCCTTCCGGCCTGCGTACAGTGTCAGGGTGCTGGATTTGGGATGGAACCCTCCATGCATGGTCAGGAGCTTTCGTGTCTTAAAATCTGTGGTCTGTATCTCCTCCACTCAGTTTCGAGTGCTTCAGGTATGGGCAACTGGTTGTACCTCTTGGGCACTTGCTTTTTCATTGCACCTTTCTGGGCCTCTGACAGTTGGCTCACTTCTCTCCGCACCTCCTTGATTTTAGCCTCTAACCGTCTTTGCCATGGTGGGTATTGTATCGCATGGCTCCCATGGTTGCTCTTATAGCCCAACACATCTAGGATCACTGCTGCTGAAGTGTATATCAGCTCATTGGTTTCAGTGATTGTTGTGGTAGGGATCACTGTCAGTGCTGCATTCACATCGTCTAGGAGACTTTCAGATGGTACTTCACATAGCCTCTGTAACCGGCATCGGGGTTGCCTTGTGTTCATTTGGGCCATGATCTTATCTTTCAGGTCAGTCGCTGCCTCGCTCAGCGTGATACTTATTGGGGCTTCGTACCCAATCTCTGGTTGGGGAGTTGGTGTCAACTCCCCTCTGACCTGGCACACTGGTTCCCCCTTGCCGTGGCATTTGTGTTGTACCTCATCAATCTCTAGTTGTGATAGCAGTTGCCGTTTGTGGATGTTGGAACACTGAGCTACTAGTTGTTTGGCCGTTAGCTTGGACTGTGGGTATCGTAATAACCATTTCTCCCACATCCTGTTCATGTAACCCCTCTGCCTAGGGTTACTGTAGTAGTAGCTCCAACAGAGCCTTGTTCTCGCATCTCGCCCATTTCCTCCGTGTTCCAGTAGCCCATTTTTCATCAAGGTGCCCTGGTTTACTGTTTGGTATTTGGCCTTTTTAACTTTTGGATTTGCCTTTTCAGATTAGTTTATCTTTAAAAAAAATAAAAATAAAAATCTGAGGCCTTGTATTTCAT